GGCAGCGGCGGCGCCTCTCGGGCCATGTGGATGACCGCCTCGATGGTGGCCATGACGGCGTCCTGGCCGGCGGCGGGCTCCAGCACCAGCGGGCTCAGGCTGGGTTTCTGGCCCCGCTTGGTGGGCAGGTCGACGCATTTCTCCAGCACGGGCATCTGGTCTCTGGAGTCCTCGTCGAACTGGGTGGGCTGCTTGCGGGGACGCCCTCGCCTCTTCTTGACGAAGTTGTTGCCTGTCTTTGATTGTCTCTGCAGCCGCTTGGCCTTGAGGATCTTGTTCACGTGGTCCAGGTTCTTCTTGGTGGACAGGATCTTGGTGTAGTTGCACATCTTCCGCACTTCGCACTGGATGGCTTCGATCTCCCGCCGCTTGAATCGCTTCTTGAGGGAGGAGCTGGCTGCAGCGGGGAGAGAGAAGAAATTGAGCACAGGACACGGGCTGCCTAAAACTCGCCCTCTTTCAAAAATGACTGAACCTTTATCTGGCTATGAGAAGCGCGCGGAATTATGCTGTGCATGTCATTGGCACCCAGTATTTAGTTTTGTGTATTAAATTGAGAATAGGAGAAATAAATCTCGGTAGGATAGCTGTTACACGTACAAAACGTTTCTATTTGCAGTATTTCAGTCCTCACGATTATGTGAAACACTACTGCCCCATTTTAAAGATGTGGAAACTGAGGCCTAGGCTGTTGAGGTGACCTGCCCGGAGCATTGGCAGCAATACAATGTAACATTTTTCTTTATGGTAGAGTGTTTTATGCAGCCTTTTGGCATTTGATCCTATTTCATATAGATGACAGCTTTTCACTGACATTGGATGAATAAAGCAGCATGTAGCCGCCCACGTTTTGTAATTTAGGTTGTCCCAGTGTACCAGTGACCAGAAGAGATGCTTTGACTGCTCTAGAATATGTGGCTGAAGCCTTTTGCCCTAGCCCTCCTCTTTCCTTCCTGGGACGCTGTTTGGGATGGCACTGGCCTTCAGCGTACTTTCCTCCCTCCACGTTCTGGATTTGTCACATAGATGCTCGGTTAGCCAAGACTTGTCTTACCACTTTTCCCTCTGGGGACCTGAAGGGAAACCCCAGTCAGGTGTTTCGGAATCATTTTCACTCCCTCTACTGAACTGTTATTTGCAGAGGGCTTGTTTCATGTGCTGGTGGCCAGATGGCGCCTTTATTTTATGAGCTAAACTTCCCAGGAAGTCCTGTACCGCCACCACTAAAGGACCTTCAGGACGGCTTCGTTTTGAAGTTCAGACGCCATAAAGTGTGAAAGGCTGCAAGACGCAGACGGCCTTTCACCCTTGCAATCAGCCTTTCTGCTTGCATGATCCTGAGCAGGCACAGACCTGTGAGAGCCTATGCAAGCACATATCGAGGGACATTGGCCCTCCCTCACAGCAGCCACTCTGCTCACCTGTACACTTCACAAGTGTGTCCTCCTCTCAGTTCTTCGCTGCTGTGAATTACCCTAAATGTTCAACCTAAATAATCTACTTAAAGGACAGAGGCCCTAGAAGGGCACATATTTCATATTAGTGTCTTAGTTGAGCCCTCCCATTTTTTTTTTTAATTATTAGCAGAAAAACAGAATATTTTAAAGGGAGAGAAGAAAAAAAAAAAGAACTCTTAAGAGGACGGATACCCACTTATTCTTGGGCACTCCTGCTTCCTTCTTTTCCCTGTTGCTCCATTTCCCCCTCATGCTGTGGCTGTCACAGATCTCCAGGAGGGTTTCATTTGAAGTTATTTATGCCACTAGCTTCATGGAGTGGGAAGCAATGAGTTGTATAGGCCAGGTCAAAATGTTCCTGCTTTGGGCCAGAGGTCAGCAAGACTGAGCAATGAATAACTACTGAGCGATCTTTAAAATAAGTTATAAAGATCAAAATAGAACAAAGCCAGAGTGAGCTTCTGACTATAAAAATAAAACTTTTGTACTGAGTCTTTTTTTAAAAAAAAGGGTGCTCAGTTCTCAGATACAGAGGCTGATTCTTATCCGGCTTTATTCTCTTACTGTGCCTAGCGTGGAGCTTCGGACATGGACAGGATTCAGAAGTTATTTTTTGCACAGACAAATCAGACTAATCATTGCTACCTTATTGCACCATCCTTTAGAAGAGTTTGAGTTTGGATTTTTTAAAGCAATTAATACAAATATAGGGACTCAAAGGGTCAGCCTCTGTATCAGGACTGAGTAATTTAACTCTTCCACAGAGTTCACGAGTAAAAGAAAACTAGTCAGAAATATCCCACACAACTTCTAGCATTTTTTCAAATGCACAATCCACATTCAGTATACCTAGACATGAAATCTTATATGTCTCTTAATATACTACATATAAATATATTGACATGGTTACGTCTAAAAAAGAGTTGAGTAGAAAAGCAAGCTGCCAATGTATTTGTAAGTATACTATTTACCTTAAAAACACATGAATTCTTTAGTCCCTCTAATTTTTGTTTCATTTTAGCATCCAGTTGTTGCACTTCAGGGAGATCGATTGTGAACCAAAGATTTGGTGGAGGAGAGTTTAATATCTGTTTTCTACCAAAGCTACCTCATAAATGTTAATTAAGCCTCTGGTGTAGGACTTTCAGAGTGGAACTTTCCAGAACATTCTAGAATGAGGCAAATATTCTTCATCTGCACTCATCCTGTGGCCACTAGCCACATGTGTCTCTGGAGTACTTGAAATGTGACTAATGTCACTAAGAAACTGGATTTTTACTTTAGTTTTGTTAGCTACCTGAGGCTAGTAGTTGCTGTATTAGGCAGCACAGCTCTAGATGGAACCACTTTGAAATACAGAGGACAGAAGACTTACAAGGATTCAGTCAGTAAAATGGAGATGATGGGAAACCCTAGGTAACTTAGTGTCCCTAGCAAATAAATTGCAGGGTGAGTTGAGGGAGAAATTGTAAATTACAAAGAGATGGAAGATGACCTTATTTGGAAACCAATTTAGAAGACTGTGAAGGTAAATCATAAAAAACATTCAGATTTGAACTCTGCTTGGGCATTTCATGGTATAATTACTGTTGATTTTCTTATGTATGATCACTGCATTATGATCACCTGTTTTTACTGAGTACCTTTATTGCAGAAATGCATGATCAAATATAGATGAAATCATATGCATATAGTAAGGAAGGGAGGAGAGAGATACATATATACATCAGTGATTGATCATTAGCTTATATCGCTGAAGCTGAGCAATGAGCTCATGAGGTTTATTAATGCTATTGTGCCTACTTTGCCATAACACAAGGTAGTTAAAGATGATGAATTGTAAGTGGCAAAAAGAAATCATTTTATAGAATCTTAGGGCTAGAGGGAGCTCTGATTTTCCCCCCTTTGGGCTATTTTACCTTACTAGTTGTGGAAGAGTAAGAGATGTACTCATGGAAGACTATGCATCCATCCTTTCCTTGGATGGCTCCTGCTACTTGCCACACTCCTGGCCTAATAGCATGGGAGAATGAGTGAATTCTCTGAGTTTTATGCTATGACCAGTTTTGTAGACGTGCATCATGTGCTAACCTCCACTGAGGACATCAGGTGTTACAACTTAGTATCCTCCTCCCTTTTGTATGTTATATTCTTTGTGTTTTTTTACATCTACTGACCATCTGAATTTCATTTTGTCCTAATGCTTATTATCCACAATTTCAGCTCATATTCATTATTTCTGTGTGCAAACAATAGCAGAGTGCAGTGTAGCAGAAACGACTTTGCAGATGGAGAGTTGGAAATGAAGGTGAACTAGGATGAACCTTTTAGCCCCTCTGAGTCTCTCTTCATCTGGTGCACAAGACGAATGGACTAGCTGCTCTCCAAGTTTCTTTCTTGGTTTAAAGACTGCTATAATTCTTTCCTATACGTATTATCAGTTGCTTTTCCCAAATGTGAGGTGGCATTCAAAAACATTTATTTCATCAAATAATTTTGAAATACTAATATGGAGAGGGGAATAGGACTTTGGACTTGGCAGGGTTTGATATTTACAAACCTTTCTCCTTATTGCTTATGATTTCACTGTCTTTCTAAATGTTTACAGATTTTTCTCTCTTCAATTTGCTTCATTATTGGACAGTAATTTCTGGGCTCTTGCTGCAAGATTGATTCCATATTTGCTCTCTTTCCTATAATTGCCCTGTATCTTGCCTGCTTTTTGTTAGATTTAAAGAGTAATTATGAGTGGCCCAGGCAAAATACAAATTTATTTCTTCATAACTCTGCAGTACAAATGGTCTTGAAGAGCCTTAAAATTGCTATGCAAGGAGCTGAACTTTAGTCCAGCTCTAGACCGTCTTTTCACTCCCATTACTGGAGGATTGGTTCATACTCCTGACTTTGTCACATCTTTTATGATACTCAGAGAGTGGCCTTAACAGTTCTTTTTTGTACACATGCTTATAGATGTGGTATAGGCACTGTGAGCTAAGCCAGGGGCTAACAAGACTGAGTTGTACAGATGATTTCTTCAAAATCGGCAATAATGTTGGTAGACTATACTTTGCTCATGTGCAAGACATACTGTAGCTTTACAAAATAGACTTGGGTGAGTTGGGGAAAAAGCAGATTTATTTTTGGACTCCTTAGAATTTCTTTTGCTGCTTGAATGCCCCAAGGAAAGGTGGAGAGATGTTGGGAAGGTTCAGCTGTCTGGAGCTGAGTTACCTTGTAGGGTGTGCAGAACTGGAGCACCGCCTACTGCAATCAGGACAAAGAGCTGCAATGTAAATTGCTTAGTGTGCTGATACACGTTAGAAGGTTCTTCGCAAGCAAAAGACACATCTTCTCTCTATGCTTGCAGAGTTCCTAGCAAAGGCCTTTTCATAAATCAGTGTGTGGTCTGGTATGTCCTCTGTGGTCAGCAAATATAGTTTCGAGGAAATTCAATTGTCTCATTGTTTTCTAATGTAAATTGTGCAATTTTTGTACTTTGTATTTGGATTTGTTTCAACAATGGTCTTTTATTCTACTAATGCTGCTTTTTTAAAATGGCAAAAATGAGGCAATCCACCTTGGCACGTAAACGTTCTTCCATCCAGTGAATTTACATTCACCTTCCGTGGTCCTGGTCTTAAAAGTTCTTTTGAAAAGGATGACAACTTGTCTCTGCTGGTAGGGGACATCTGAGTGGCTGCTGGTTGTCAACGCAAGTATAAGCACTGCTCTCCATATGTATAGCAGTAATTTACAATTAAGAGTTAGCAGATGTGGGGGATTTGTCATGATAGGGCAGTGTTTCCATTCTGTTTCTTTAAGTTGTCTTAGTGTACTTTGGGGTTCCTTTGAAAATGTGGCCAGCTTGTTTAAAGAATAGTGACTACCTGACTACTCAAATAATAGCTTCTTCTCGGGGTTGAGAAAGAACATCCTATCT